TCAGTACTGATGTCCAGATTCTCAAGTGCAGGCATCACCAATTCCCAGTCTGAGCAGCAAAGACTTTCCTCATCCGTTGGCATTGCTTTGCATTTGAAACAACTACACCACCAGGTTTCCAGTGCTCGACTCCGGTATTCTGCGGCTGGCTGAGGGTTAGGCTCATGAGCTGCGGTGGCTGCTTCGTCCAGTAGCCTGAGTTCAGTCCATATACTCAGGCTCAAAGAAATACGGCTCAACAAAGAAATGCTGTTCCTCCTCAATTGCAAAGTCTTCAGACATGTTGGGCTGTCCTTTGCTAAAAGGCCGTAGTGCAAATTATCTTTTAGCAACTGTGGCTACTGTTGTCTCCCCCTGTGGTGCACGTGTCACGTGATTTAAACACGGGTGAGCAAAGCTCATGCTTGCGCTGGTCTCGCGCAGACGCGCACACATGAACACGGAGCACAGAGAAGCAGTCAGAGCTACAGGCTACAGTGAGGCTAAAAACAGAGTTCATATGACATTTTTCGAAACATCTTTTTATGTCGCGGCTGCAGCACACTTGGATCACTACGGATGAGCAGTATGGAGATACTATGTGGATTCAATTTTGTGTTCTTGGACGTTAGTCTGGGGCGCCGTCTGCCATTAGGCGTGCTAGCCGCTCCACCCGCCGATCTCCACAAAGGATGTGAGGACTCTAAAACTTCACCAGGGCCTTCCTCGGCATATGGGTGAGTAGATAATGGCTGAATTTTCATTTTTGGGTGCACTATCCCTTTAAAACTTTGATGTGACAGTCCCCTAAAAATTAACTTAGACTACAAATAAATGATGTGCTGTGACGTTTCCTTAATACATGTGAGTATAATTAATGTGTAAGGTAAGATTTTTAAAGGGTTTTAGCATTTGGTTTCCTCCAGAGCAGCACAACAGTTTAAGACCTGGATAAGCATTCATATGCATTGTACCTCCCAGTCCTTTTTATTGATGGCTCCTGGAACATTTGAAGCTCTAAGTGTTTGGCTGATAGATCCAACTCTGGCTAATGGGCCAACTGTTTTAACATTTTCCTCCATAGCTCAGATATCTCTGTTTATCCATCAGGCCTTTGAAGCAGAGGAGCCTGCTGTAGAAGAAGAGCTGGAGGCAGACAAAGGAATTTCACAACCTGAACCAGAACCTGAGCAAAGCTCTGAAAATCAGCATCCTGAAACCTCCATCACTCCAGACCAGGCATCACTGCTGCCTTCCTCTCACCCTGTCTCTGAACTTGCTGCTGAGCTTGAAGATAATGCAAACACCATCAACCTTCAGGACAACATCCCAGATAGGCAAGATATTATTACCAACAGGTTTGTTTTAGTTTATTTTTCCTTTTTCTTTTTTTGTGCTGCTCAGTTCATTCAGTCAGTCAGTTATTTGGAAAAATGGCACCACAATGCATTCTCTGCTGCAGTGCTTCCCCTTATGTATAAGTAGTTTAGCTGCTATGTAAAAATCTCCCAATATGCAATAAACTCACTGTCACTACTGTAAGCAGCCAGAGTCAGCGACAAGCAAGGATTATATATTAAAAACCCCAGATAAGGTTGGTCCAATCAATCTGCAGATATTTGTTATAAATAGTTTTAATGCTGATCAGATGACGTATGAGACAATTTCACTGAATGCCACTAAAATAGCTTCACTGGTCCGACCGGTTCTGACAAACTGTAGCTCACAGTGAAGGAATGCTAAGAGTCACAATATTGACTGAAACACTAGATGGGTGTGTCATATCATCTTGTTGATGATAATACCAGTATAATTTTTGATATCAAATGAAAAATTCATATGGTGACACACATGAGATATTCGGCTTGTTGACATAATAACATCATACTGTTACCCACGGCAACAACAAGCATGGCTGAAAGCTAAATTATTACCAACTCCGCTGTGGTTCCACAAAGAGGAGCAACTTCAGTAGTGTGGAATAAACTGTGGCGTTCTGAATGTTTTATGAACAGCCCCGGACTTCTCAGACTCTTTTAATGACTTACCGCTCAGAGGGAACTCATTCAGCGGCTCCTCTGGCAGCAGCACAGCGTCTCTCCCTCTCCTCTCTTGCCGTGCACACACAGGAGTCGGTGTCGTTAAGTGATTTTGTCATAAATGTAAACCTATGTGATGTTCGCAGCTCGACAAAAAACTCTATATGTGAATGTGTGATAGTTGTGGTATCATAACAGCCTGTCACAGGTTATAGTGTGATGATTAGAGGAGAAATGGCAGAGCATAAAGGTCCAGGTGGAAAAAAAAACAACTCAGTCATTCAGGATTTTACTAAAAGAAGGAAATCACCTGTTGATTTATAGATATAGATCCCAGGGGACATTTTTTGTATTTGGGAGCTGTTTAAATGTGTAATTTGAGGTAGATTTTAGTTTGTTGAGCTATTAATATTGTATACAGAACATTTTTGTTTAGTTTCTACTGAATATTTGAAGGCAAACTGTAAAACTGTATCACTTACGTTATTGCATTTCTATGTTCTTAAATAAGGCCAATTATGAACATCTGTCTAAAAACCCTTCTGGTGTCAGTGGACGCGCTAAATATCCTCTGGCATAGCAAAATAAAACTCATGCACGTCAGCACTGCTGCTGGAAAAAATCCTCTAGAAACACTGTTTGCTGTATCTGATTCTGGTGTTTCAGAAAATGTGAGCAAGTTCCTTTATTTTTCCTTAAATGTTTTTCTGCAAATGAAAGCGCTTCAAAAGAGTAACATGGATTGTTTTTTAATTTCAGTGTTTCAGATGATGCAGTTGATGTAGCTGCACCCGAGGTCATTGATTCTGACCTGCCTCCAGCTGACTGTGAGGAGGAGAAGAACCCATATGACAATGATAGGTGGGTACAGGGAATCGTGTGCCCTACTTTGTGAGCTAAAAATATCTAAGTATCATTTCTCTTGCATTGTTTTCAAGTTGGCTTTAACTGTTAGCTGTGATCCTGACCACAACACTGTTTGGTTGCAGTTCAAGTGAAAAGTCTAGTGGGCTCTGACACAAAACAGCACTGCTTTGTTTTCTATTCCCACAGCAGTCCTCCAATTGTTCTGGAGAACACTTCCAATGTTCACACTGCAGGTACTAAAACCCACACGGACCCACCTCTGACTTCTAAGACTGGTCCTGGCACACAGCCTCTGGAGGCCAACACCTCACACATGCTGAAAAAGCAGGTAAGGAACTCAGATACAGTGCAATCTATTTTCCTCTCTCCACCAAAGGAGGTGCCCCAGCTCTCATTTTCTCATTATCTCTGACAGGACCCGAGCTCCCCTGTTACCACAGGCACAGATTCCAGTCCGAGCAGCAAAGACCCCGAGGACATCCCCACTTTTGATGAGTGGACGCGGAAGATGATGGAGGTCGAGAATGAAAAGAGTAAGTTTATCCTTTGAAGGAAGACTTCATCCCCTGAATGATCGTTTGTATATCAATTACTTACCATGTGTTCAGTTGAATTTGTGAAGACAGGGTTGTTTTTCTCACCTGCCTCTATGGTGCGTAAAGAATCCAAAAACTGAAAATAATATGGATGAATTGAATCATAAGGGTCGGTGTTTAACAACAGCAAAACTATCAAACTCTCACACAGCTTGTGCAGTATAATCCAAGTCTCATTCATCCAGTCGTATGCTCAGTACTTCCCAAACAGACAACTCTTTCAAGAGGGAACTGAGCTAAAAGTGAAGTAGATCTATGCTCTCTCCAAAGCCAGACTCCATTAACAAAAACAATAATTTTACACTGGAGCCGCTGCTCTACTGCCGCTTCGATCAGTTGGTTTATTTATGTTTGTGTGACTTTGGTGAATCCGAACTAACCCTTTAAAACACCAAAGTCACACAATAGCACAAACAAACTACCAGTAGTTGGGTAGCAGTAGACCGTCACCTCCCTTTGTCAGCTAGTTAAAATTACTGCTTTTGTCAATGGAGTCTGGCATTGAAGAGAGCTTAGATATGTTTCACTTTTCACTCAGTTCCCTGTTGTGAAAGGGTGTCTGTTTGGGAAGTACTGAGCATAGAACTGGATAAATGAGTCTTGGATTATACTGCACGAGTTGTGCAAACAGAAGGACATACAGGCCCCCTTTTATTTCACTTTATCAAAATTTTGTTTAGTTTTTGCATTCTTGGTCATATGGAGGCATGCACGAAATTCCTCATGAATTCACTGTAACACAGGGCGGGTAAATTATATACAAATGATAATTTTGAGGGTTGAAGTATTCCTTTAAATTGTGTTAAGAGTGATGATCCAGAACCCAAGGACTGAATTTTAAAACTTAATTATAATGTTCTTCCTCTCAAAAGCTCAGTCCACTCATTCTTCCAACAACGGGGCTCCTCACACGGTGAAGAAGGTCCAGAAGAACTTTAATAACTACGCCTCAGTGGAGTGTGGAGCTAAGATCCTTGGCGCTAACCCAGAGGCAAAGGTACTATATA